GCAAGCTGCGCAAGCGTGACCCGCTGATAGCCTTCGGTGGGCTCCTTGTAATACGCATCGAACAAAAATTGAATGAGAGACTCATGTACCTCGAAGCTCATGAGTTCGGCCACGGAGAAGCACACGCCCCTCCGCCGCAAAGCATGATGCACCAACAAGTCCGTAGCAACATTCGCCTCAAGACGGGGTGTATCTTTGTGCTCCCTGACAATGCCTGCCTTGTCCGGTCTCCAGGCTTTGAGAAGCTGGTCTTCGGTAGCACCCAACACCTCTTGGTCTCTTGTGGTGAGCCGGGCCCACTCCACATAGCGAAGTCGTCCTTCATCAAGCATGGCTGCAAACAAGTTAATGCTGGCATGACTTGGCTCCAAGATTCCCTGGAGCTTGAGGGGAGAAATCTTTGGAGCGAGGACCTGCAGGCGTGCACCAATCTCGGCGACAGGCAATTTCCTCGGGCCAGCTTCGTCGGTCCCGTCCACTTTCCGTTTAAGGTCTGCAGCGGTAAGTGTCCAGGCTTCCCAGTGTAACCGGCGAAGAGCTGCCTCATGGGCAGCAAGTGAATCGCCTAGGATGGCATCGAGGACGATCTTGATGGCGGCTTCCGCTCCTGCAGTACCCGGGGTAGCCGTAGGAGCATGAGCAAAGTTAGCAAAGGTGCTCCAGCCGCGCAAATCGAGCCGATCAACGACCTCAGTAGGCAGCCCAACGGCCAGGCACCTTTGTCGAAAGATCGCTTTCGAATCGACGTAAGACATGCCGGGCTACCACTAGGTTGGAGCTGGAGCCGTTCAAAACTCGAGAGCGGGTCAGAGTAGGAGCTAGCGGAAAACTCGCAAGCATGCAGCATGCAGGGGTGTCTTTGATCCGCTTCGTTGGCACCTTTCATCATCAAAACCAGAGGCCCGCCGGTACCGTAGTGGAGCGCGCACCAGGTCAGTATGTCCAAGACCCTGATCTAAATTCGGTCCGAAACCAAAGGACCTAGAGAACGACTACAGTATGAAAGCCATGAAAACACCACTACTACACCACGGCAGAGCTCTCGTCACCTGAAACACGAAAGGCAAGGATTTAAAATCACATTGGGCCGCGCACCGAGCTCCACGTGCGCTGCCGTGGCTAAGCGACCGCACACAAAAACAGTCGCATCATCGTCATGTGGCCTCTGTGCTCGATGCACCGTTTGCCTCGAGCCGTGTTTATAGTATAAGAAACCATCACTTGCATCGGATGCAATCGCCTCGCCCAGGG